TACGAAGCTTTAACGATCCCGTCGCCAGCATTGTGAAAGACGTCCGTGGGCAACTTGAACGCGTAGCAGCCCTTTCGATTTTTCGAATTTTTTACCAAAACGAAAGCAATATTTCTGTTCTTTTCATTCTTATCGTGGATAATGAGTCTCAAGCCAGTGATTTATGGCTGAAATAGAATCATGATTTTTCCGTGAAGGATTCCTTTAAATATCAGGGCATCTGCTTTACAGAGCGTGGATCACCATCTCAGTCAACATCTAGGCAAAGCGACGAGTCATTCTTTGAAGATGGTATGCCACTACTCCTTTGAAAGCACATTCCGCGACTAGACCATAAAACAATGCATCTCGGCGAATAAATCTGTTGGGACCACAACCCGAGGAATAGGGTCACTTTCAAAATACAATGGGATAGGCTCCAGGCAGGGTCAACCGTCCGTTCGAACAGTTCGAACGGGGGGTCGCATTTGGGTTCTGGGAGGGAAAAGGGGGTCGCATTGCGCGCTTTGGTCATCAGGCAGGGCAGAGGTGTGTGTGAAAAAAGTTGCCGTTTCACTGGTTGTATATACCCCCCCCCCCCTTTGGTTGTATTGGGGAGGGTCGCAATTGTGTATTGGTGGGGGTCGCAACTGGACCCTCTCGAGGGGGGGGGGTCGCAAAAATCCCGAAAATGTTCGAACGTGACGGTTGACCCTGGCTCCAGGGGCTTAGAACTTGTAGCAGTGGTCACTTCTAGGAACCGTGCACGGCCATCGTTGCGGTGTCTGCCTTCTCGCTCTTCGCTGTGCTCTCTCGTCTCTGTCTGTCATCCTCTTATCACCATTTAGATAGTTTTCAGTAATTTTCACCTTTTTCTCTCTTTGGCAAGTCAGCGACCACCCACAACTTTATACCTGAGCAAGTTTCTTAACAAGTCTACCTTGAGAGGTGAAGGCCTGGTTGGCTAGGACCGAGTACACTCACAGAGTTGGCCCGCGGATCGTGCGTGTGATATGCTTCGCCACTTGCCACTGCACTATTTCCGCCTTTTGTTGGGAAACCGTAGGAGAAATAGGGCAACAGATTTCGTCATCAGTTGTATCCGCTCACTAAAACTGGCTCACTAATCCAATAATGACCCCTGTTGCGGAATGTGCTTTTGATGTTCCCTATCAATCCTGAATGTTTCTGGGGGTCCCTATCAACCCTTTTTGAACATGTCCTATAAACATTTAGAAGAGTACGATCTGCCGTCACCGACCTTTTCTCTCACAGATTTCCACCGAAGAAACTTTATTGTCGCAAGGCACAGGAAGACTTTTCATACTGGGATGATGACAATAGCCAGAGCACTTCATCGAGAGACTCTTCTAACAGCAACACCCCAAATTGGGAGAACTGCCCAGGACGACCTTCCCCCAATTCAGCCGCCGCTCAGCCTCCACTTGAAGAAGAGTCCAATATTTCCTCCCAAACTCCCACAATCTAAACCAAATAAGTTCAGCCACCATCTCATCAACGAGCATCCTTGGGCACGATACGTTACTGTCCGTGAACGTCCGTCCATTCTGTCCGAGGACTGTGTCACAAGCTCTCTTCCACTTGAAGTTTATCGCCACATTCCCGATATGGGCTATTTTTCGTACGAATTCGTCCAGTCGCTGTTCCCTCGCTATCACCAACAGCCCAACTCCACTCAGCCACTTCCAATCTTCGAGCTCATGCGTCTCCAGGACGCTGTCGACTTTCGCAAGCATTCGTTGAAGATCATTGACCAGCTCAAGAATGGCACTTATGTGGCCCGTGAAAATAGTGATCCAGTGACCCCTTCGGGCTCAATGGCATCAACCGTTCTTCCGATTCCTTGGCACAGTACCCCAGTCCTTTATCAGGTTGTTTCTCGAGAATACAGAGGAGCCCTAATTCTCGAAGCCAAAGACTTCTTCATTTTTGGCCCCGATCGTGCCGAGCTGCAGTGCATTGTGCTCGACCAGTTTTCCACGAATATAAAGTCACGTACGCGTGGTTTCAGCAGCAGGCTGGTGTCCGTTAAGGACTTCGTCTGGGTGTATTCTGTGGAACCGACGGCTGAGGCCCTTGACAAACCGTCATCGGTTCTTGACCGGGCACGTAAACCCCGAAGTACTGCTCTCGACATGCACGTACCGTACTTCTTCCGAGCACGAGAATTCGTCTTCGTCACCCCTCCAACGGCACCTCATCGCGTCTTTGGTCTTGTATTAGAGGGTAAAGACACAAGTTTACGACCTTATAAAGTCGCCTTCGAAAGTGTTCCCGATGCAGTTTTTGTCTCCCGTAAACATCTGCAGAGCTCATCACGAACCATGAAGAAGGATGACATCGTGCTTGCTGATACTCGAGGGAATGTCTCTACAGCGATCCGCTTTTCCGAGTCGCCTGCGTCGGTAGAGATCAGCTCGCTCTGTGCAAGCTGGTCCGTCCAATCATCCCTTCCCATCCGCAAGAGGGACTGCTGCCGTTGAAGATTTTCGATATTCCTCGCGACGATAGGGACTGGATCGATGACCGTGTCGGTAGATTCACGAATTACTTCAAAAACCCCCGACAAGCCCACCACAGAATGACCAAGCTGTTCAACGTTGGCTGCTCTGCTCTACTGGCCATCGAAGGTATGAACGACGACAGAAGTACAAGGAGGCTGACAGCTACAGTACCCAGCCTTACTGCTTTCCCGATTCGGTTCCACTTCACTTTGCGATTGGATTCAGAGTCCGGGTGGACTGCAAATCGCTCTGTCTTCCTGTGGATAGTTGGTGCCGCTTCTGTTGAGCGCGTCTCGATTCTAAGAACAAAATTTGACCCTAAGAGAAAGACCCTCGACATCCAACTCGTCTCTTCAGCTCGCCTTCATCGCTCTCTCATGTTAGAGGTGAATAAATACAGCAAGGAAATAGGGGGTACCATCTATTTGGTTGTGGTTTTTTTTTTTTTTTTTTTTTTTTTTTTTTTTTTTTTTTTTTTTTTGGTTTTTTTGTTTGGGGTCCATACGACATTTGTGTCAAGCTAGCCCGCCAGTGTGTCAATCGGACAGTGCCAGTGTACCCGATGCTCACCAAGCACAAGCTCTTCGAGAACATCACGAGAAACAGCGAGTGTCGAGGAGCGCAGGTGCTCGATGCGGTCTACAACAATCTGTCCTCCTATAAAATAGCTGGTTCGGACTACATGTATGCTGACCGAACAGCAAAACGAATCTCCTTGGATGGCAAGTCCCTCGAACTTGGTTCAGATCAGGTGGCTGCTATCCGACTAGGATGTGATGATCGTCGTCCAATTGTGGCCATTCGAGGACCATTTGGCTCAGGAAAAACCCTGGTTGCTGCTTTGATAGCCGCACGGGTTGTGCGCAAACAAAAAGGCTTTTCTATCATCACTGCCACCACAAATGGCGCAGTGGCGCAAATCACCGACACCGTTCTGAAACTCGATGAGTACAGAGACCTGCCCGTGCTGCGCTACGTGTCCGACACTTCGCTTATGAAGGAAATCCTTCGACCTCTGTCGATATAAATAGCATACTGAAACGCCTACCCGATGACTATTTTGAACAGTTGTCGCGTGAGGATTTGAGGACTTGTCGAAGTTTCAAAAAAGGGCGTGAGCTACTGGAGAAGTAAGTATTCAACCCGGATAACGCGTTAAATCTGACCGCGCCTGAGCAAAAAGAGTACCGTCTGGCCGAGCAGGAGGTTTCCGCCATCACATCCAAAGTGGTCCAGCTGATGTTCAGATTGCGGAAGCCGGCTATCATATGTATGACGACGTCAGCCCTACTGAACTCTACTGACAAGGGAGGCATCTTCCATGGCCTTCTGCAGGACTGCCACACGGTCATCGGGGACAACGCTTCGCATATTCCTGAGCCGGAATTCGTGGCTATCACGAATCGCCTGTTCAATGCTCGTCATGTCTACATTGGTGACCCTCTCAGCTCCAACCCCACATTCGCTGTGCTCGCCTACGCTCTTCCTGCAAGACTCGGCAGCACGAGGAATGATGAATCTTCTCATGATAAACGCGTTCCCTCCCTCTCAATGGTGACCACATTCCGAGCCCATCCAGGACTAAACGAGCTTCCGAACGAAACTCTTTTACGACGGCGATCTCATAGACGGGGCTGACGAGTACCAGCGTGGTTTGTTCCTGGACCATGTCCGCTGCCCAGACCCATGTTATCCGTTCGTTTTCGTTGATATTCCTGAACCAACACGCGATCCGCTCCGCACCGAACTGGAGACCAACTTTAACACCAGGGAAGCTGATGTCTGCCAATTGATCGTCACCTCCCTATTAGCCAAAGGAATTAAGCCGGAATGCCTCGGGATCGTCACATTCTACAGAGGGCAGCGTCATCTTCTCGAGCAGTTTGCCAAGAATCACTCGGTCGATCTTCTCACAGTTGGTTCTTTTCAAAATCGTGAGAAGGAGATCGTCATTCTGCTCACCACAAGGTGCGCGACGGTGGTGACAAAGATTTCCTGGGTGACAGCAATCGTATGAACGTCGCACTTACTCGCTGCAGCCACGGACTGTTTGTTCTTGGAAGCGTGCGATTCCTAAAAACAGTAGACAACTGGAATGCGGTCATTCGATGGGCCGAGTCTCGCAAGGCAGTGGTCAGCAAGGACGCTCTAAAACGGATTCTCGCATGATGCTCTTCAATAATCTCCAAACTTCGGTGAGTTTTTGCTCATATTTTTTCGTATCATTCTTTGTGGAGGAGCATATTGTTTGTGGAAACAATTCATTTTTAGAAATCATGCCCATAATAATCCGTCAAAAATCACAATACTCATCATTGATAATCATCATTCCTATGGTGCTAAACACTATTTATAGGTTTGTCCTTCACAAGTCCTCGTTCTCGCTAACCAAACTTAAAGGCAGGGGTCACGATGGCCGAAGAGCGTTGCAGTTTCTATGACGTCATCGACCGTCATTGTGGACGTCAAGAGGCGGCGATCTGAACCACACTCCCACCGCGCTGAGGGGTCTAGCCCTCCAATGACGTTCAGTGACGCCATAAAAATTGCACCACCTTCAGGGCATCGTGATCACTGCCTTTAAAGGGGCTACTTATAATTTATGTATTTAGGGAAAACATGTAAACCCGTATATTTACGCTAAAAAGGAAAGATACACCCTTTTAACCCGTCGATTGGCTGTCAGAACTTTGATACTTAGCACTCATGCGAATTCGTACCTCTTAAATCTCGTCTCTTCTTCAGGAACAGAGAATTCTTCAATAACGCCAAGTGAGTATCTCCATACATGTGATAATTACTTTATTTTTATATTATTTATTTATCTATTTTGTATTGGTGCATGCTTAGGTGCGCTACTATTTGCTATTAATTTCTTGGTCACATAATTTCAAAAGCAACGCCAAAATACACGTTTGAATCACCATCCAAAACTGAAGGTAAGAAGATCTCCAGTAAGATTTGAGTGAGCAAAGTGAAAACAAATTATTGCACATTTTAAGAGAAAGTGTACTTTGAGCTGCGTAGTGGTGATGGAGCTTACTATGTCTGACTTGAAGGAATTCGCGATAAGAACGAAGGTCGAAGAAGGCCAGGGGAAATGCATAGCTGGGAAAACAGGCGAACTTCCTGACGGTGCTGACCGACGCGCAATTGGCAGTGGATGACCTCGGCGATCTAGCATGGCTCACTCTTGGCGCGGTTGGCGGGGTACGCCCACCGACTATCTAATCACTCGCCGCAGGTCTATACGTGGCGAGTGATTAGATAGCAGAGAGAGCGTAGCGTTGAAGAGGGCACAGCGATGAGAGTCGCATCAATGCTCAAATCAGAGGGCTAGGAGGCCATTTCTTGGGTTTCGGGCCTATTCAAAGGGTTTCTTCTTGATTTCTGTTCCGCTCAAAACCTCTACCCTTATTTCCAAGTGAGCTAATTTTTCATCGTAAACTCTGCCTTTAAGTTTTTCACTATCTATTTCTATCGTTCATGTGGTTTGTGTTCACAAAGTCAAGATGGTACCCTAAGAGGACTATTAGGAGCTATTCTGCGTAACACGCGTTGGAGTGATAGCGCGGGTGAGGGGGTGGTGGGGGAAGAGTCTTGTTTTGAAGTTCAGAATAAAAATATTTGTTGGAGAGGAATCGTATTCTGTAAAGACACGGAAAAGGAAATCTTTTGGGGAGTGGGGAAAGTTTTTTTACGCAATCTGGGGAATTTTCATTTGAATTGCTGAGTTTCCCGTTTCAGTAGGCTTATGAAGTCCCTCCATCCATGACGAGTAATTTGCTGGGAGCTAAAAGGCACCAGTTTCTACAAACATAACCTTTGAAAAAGGCAATCAATTAACTATCTACACCAGGGAGATTTTGCACTTTCTCAGTCCGCCATTTAAGCATTGAGCAGCTTGTTAATCCCTTCCCCACAAGCACGCAGAACTCCCAGGAGCCGATCATTGCCCTGCCTCACCGTTTGCCTCAAAATTTACTGCGTGAAGAAGACCTGGAGGTGCTGGCAGAGAACTAAACTACTGAATGAAAATCAGGGCTGAAATTGCTCGCTGAATAGGCGAACGCAAACAGGTCTCAAATTTTTAGAAGCGCGCCATGGATAAAAGTGTAGCATGGGCATCTTACAGTTTCACGACATATCAGGGCTACGGTGGTAACAGCCAGCTTCAAGAGCCACAGCCATAGGAACTGAATGATTCATGAGCAGTGCCAGCGGTGAATGGGAAATCGAAGATGGCCCAAAATAGCAGTCAAAAACTCTTTAGCTCCTCTATAGCCTAGTGAAAATTGGCGTAACGGGCGGGTGCTGTTCGATTCGTAGTTATATCATGAAGCAATGACAAGAACGGGGAAGACTTGTTTTCAGGTTGATTCGCGGCGAAGGGTTCACGAACTAAATACAAAGCTGCCTCCATAGCCTTAAACGGCGAGCATTTATGGCAACATACACCCAGATTACTGTATCTCCCATTGCATTAAACCAGCGCCTTCATATATTCCACACTATCGGTAAGTCCATTAATATTGTCGTGGGAAGCAAATGCGAGGTCAATGTCAGATTTTGCGACTTGAACAATTCGCTAGCGTTTGCGGTGGCGTTGCGGCCAGCGAATTGCACGATTTGGTGCACCGCAACGCGACCGCGGACGCGAGAGAATCGCTAGTAGCGATTCGCTCGAATTTACAACGTCTGACATCAGCCCATGAGAAATAGTCCCATCAAAACCAATAGAAAGGAGAACCAAACTAGAATTGACTCTTTTTCCTTTTATAGCATATCAACTGAAACTGCTTTCTGATGGCTATTATCAGCCCCAAGGACAGAAACAACTGTATTTTAGCTACAGAATCAAGACTTCTAAATATGCTCTCGTTGATTGCCGGGAACTTTTGGTGAGTTTTAATTCCTCTCATTCTACGAACCCTTCCTTATGCCATCCAAAACCTCATACCCATGCTTAGTTGACTTTCCTTGTAGTTCATCGCTGGCAGAATGGGTGAGAAGTTCAAAATTGGAAAGATTCGTTTTCAGGACGTGAGCAGCTCGATTAGCTGCACATGCAACGGCTGCAGAAAAATCGTTGTGACGGCAAGCATTTACTACAAAGTCGAATATAACCTGGGTGAGCTTATCCTCCAAATGAGCTTTTGATGTGTAGGTGTGCAATTTTTAAGGTTCCATATTCAGGCCTCTGTAAACGAAGAGACGGTCGAAATATTGGCCGTAATAATTTCTTCCACTTAACAGCCTCGTGGAAAATGAGAACTCAAACAATATCGAACAAAACTATTTTTCCGCAGGATAACAACCTCTTTTCGTTTGCCCTCATTGGTGAGTTTCTCAATATAATCGTGAAAAACGCGAAAAAAAATAAAGCTGGCTCATTTCTCAGCTCATTGAATCAATTGAAATCACTGCGAGATGCAGTAGATGGGCGTTAGCGTTAAGAAAGGTAACTATAGAGACTTATTTCAGGTGACCTAATCACAAGCAATTTCCACTAGAAGCTTACATAGAAGAAACAAAGTGAAACTAAGAGCCCTCTAAGCTGGCTTCCCAAGGGCTTATACAGTTAAAGACATAGAATGACTTCACAAAAGTCCTCTCAGATGGTCAAGATCGCCTCTATTCCAGGTGAAACTCCAAACTTAACTTCTAGAAAAATTGTTCGAATTGATGAGGGATGACGGTATCACAACTGAAGGCGGTGCTGACGTAGTTAGGGGGGGGGACCACACGACGGCACGATGCTTTATTTTCTGCAACTATGAGGCTTGTTCGTAGGGGGCGACGGACTTTTGGCTCGTCCGGGTTGCACGCGGCGAATTGCGCGGCGGGCTGCGCGGCGATCCGGACGAGGCAAGTCTTCGCGGGCTTTGCAGTGGAATTCAACACGTCAAAGCGTGTGCAGATCGCTGATGAAATTACGAACTACATTTCAACGCTTGGAGATTTGAAGACAGCGGTGATGCTAAAGAAGTTTCAATAGAAAGAGTTGTGAAGGAATTAGCATGGTGATTTACGACGATCAGGGCGGTCATGGTGTTGCTGGGGATCATTCAACTGGGTTAGCCAAGTACTGCGCTTAGAACTGAGCCTTAGGGCGAAAGAAGGGTTCTGGGAGAAGATGTGAGCAATTTGTGCTTCCCCCGATGTTCCTCCCTTCTCCTGGGCTTAGTCCTAAATTCCCCACCATCAGCCATCTTCGGAATGTTCCCCCTGAACACATAAAGAGCTGCTATCAGCAAAGCATACATAGTTGACACAAGAACTCTTTCTCAGAGTGAATTCCTAACTTAGTATTTTTCATTCGCTGTGATGAAAGCAGTGCCATTTATTTCTTTCTTTTATCCATTTGCGATCACATCTTACCGAGGCCACTGTACTCGAATCTTTCAAAAACGGAACGTTTTCTCAAACCGCAGAATCATGCGAAGTTTATCCAAAATCTGTACACACTTTGACGCGTTGAATCCTATTGCAGCGAAGTGTTGCTTGTTTAAATCTTCCGGGCTGACACGCCGCGCGATTCGCCGCGTGCCAGCCCGGACGAGCCACCCGGTCATAGGAACCGTTACTATTTCGCTGCATTGTCGCAATCTCTGAATACAGTAGCACCGGGGACTAAGCCTTGGGAAGGGGTGACGGACAAAGTGCTGCTGCGTGGTCCCCCCCCCCCCCTAAGACAGCACCCTGAAGGCTAACGAGAATCATAAAAGCTGCGTCACTCATGTTGAGTTATTTTTGTAAGCATACCGTTGAAAAATTCAAATACAGTTCAAGTTCTAAGTGAACCTACATATAATAATTTAAGACACCATTTTTACGAAAAAAAAAAACGGCGGCATAGAAACCAGGTTTTTTTGTTTGTTTTCAAACCCATATATAACACAGCAGTTTAGGCACTGCTGGCAAGGAAATGCGAAGAACTTCAGCAAAAATATGGGTACTAAATCTTCTCTTTTAGAACATCGCTTCTAGTAGGCTCGCAAGATTTTCGATTCGAGGTAAGAGAACATTTCGTTAGGCTCTGATGGTAATCGAATAGAGGTTCCTTTCAGGGAAGAGGGAGAGGTCATAGGGACCGTGAAACTCTCTTCAACACAAGACTGATTTCTATTGAACCCTCTTCACCTTAGAACCTGGCAGTTCTTTTCTGGAGTAACATCTACAGCACATTGGGTGACGTACCGTAACCAGACAGTGATGAAAAACTAGCCACTTTTGCAGTCTCGGAACTGCGACAAGTAAAGAATCGCCCAGTGAACTTCTACAGAATACTCTCGTAAGCTTATGCCGATTCATCCTAAGTAAACCTTGCGATTGCGAATTTTGCAAAAGAGCAAAAAAAAACGGAATTTTCGGCACATATCCAGGTCCTTTCCCCCAAAATGTCTCAATACTATACACGCAAACTAGATTCAGGTTGATGTCGAAGTCAGCTAGGTGGTAATCCTTTTGCCCGATACTTAAACATCGACCTTCCGTTCTTTTTAAAGCCCCCGAAAGTATCTTAGCCGCACACGACCCACACATGTTTAACACCGCTGCCATTTCACAGATATACTACCTTCCCATCATCAATATGTGCCCTCGTTTTACTCGAAGTCGAACATGGCGCCCACTTATTGAAACCATGTATATGAACTCTTTTCCTCCAGAAAATTCACATGTAGCTATCCTCATCATCCTACACCCCTATCCGTACGCTTGCCTTGCCCTCACCCTCGCCATCCCTGCTCTATATAAGAAAGCCTCAAAACCAGGGACACTCATTTTAACTCAAAAGGACCATGGTAGTGGGGGAGGGGAAGCTTTGATGCATAAGAACCGCATACTTCCTGAAGCAAACATCACCACCACTCCTCTTTCCTAGACCTTGAGGAACATCATTGGTTACCTTTACACAATCCGAATTTGGTTCACACCACCGGCGACATGCTCTCTGCAAACCACTTGAGCTACTCGTAACCGCCACTTGGAATGTTGCATCCACACGTTCTCCTCCCCCCACCATCTCGGCTCCCCTTACGCTACCCCTGTACTTGACCCCATAAAGATTTTCTACGAATCTCGCTAGAGATTTGTTGCGAATACGTGAGCAAGTAGATCAGCTAAATATGTGTACAACAGCTTCAGGGGCTACGTCTTTGACAACAAGCTATAATGGCACAAAGCGATCAGAAAGGATCATTTTTCAACTAAAATCGAAAGCACTTCTTCAGTTCTTGGCTCATTGGTGAGTTTCTTGATATAAAAATGGAAAATGAAAAGTGAGAAATATAATAATACCTTCATTTTTCTTTGCCTTATTTATTCTATTGAAATTATGGTACGTGCTTGGGATGTGTATTGATGATTAGAAAGGCAGTTGTTTATGAGGACCTATTAAACTTCAGATAACCCGTCCTCAGTCAGAAGCCTACAGGAAAGGAAGCCAAGCTATCACTGACTACTTCCAGTCCCAATTAGGTTTCCGAAAGCAGCAACCGACTTAACAACTTCATGGATGCTTTTGCCGGCAATCGAAATTGCTCTCTATACCATGTCCATCGTTACACTCTATTTCAAGACCGTGTTGAAATCGGGGGATGCGAAGGAGTAGGAAGGGTGAGAAGGGGGCAGCCTTTCGGGGAGGTATCGAAAATTGGCGCTGTCGTAAGATAGGGGCATTAGCGGCAACACATTTCAAACCGACTCGAACATCTCCCTTTTTTTGGAGACGGTAGGTGAGGTAGAGAGAAAGAGACTACAGGGGGGTGAGCAGCGCTCACTTCCATCCTGGTCCTTCCCGGGCTTAGCGCCAAGGAATGCCCCAAATCTTGCGATAGCGCCCGAGAATGGCCCTGAAACGTTGGAGGTTGTCTAACAACGATTCCTTCTTCAGATTCACCATGGTAATGGAGGAACAACATGGAAGAACAGCACAATCTCTCAAGATCTTTTAATGGTCCGTCAGTTGTTCCCAAGTACCAATATTTTTATTCTGCTCTCTCATCGGCATTACTCAATGCTCACTACGAAAAGCTCTACGATGGATGACAAACAGCTATGGGATCTGGCATGCTACTACTATGCTCTCATTGATTGGCAAAAACGTTTGGTGAGTTCATAACCCTTCCATTCCAAGGACCCATCTTTATACCATCCAGAATCTCATACCCATGCTCAATTGATCTCTCGCTCAGAGCCTATCACTGGCAGAGCAGATAAGAAGTACAAAGCTGGAGAGATTTGTCGCCAGGACCTGAGCATCTCGATTAGCTACACACGCAACGGCCACAGAGAGTCGTCCTTGACGGCGAGCATTCCCGGTGAGCTCATTTTTTGAGTTGTTGGTGTTTCCGTGCGTTCCTGGCAGAAAGTCAGAAACCCTAAAAGCCAAGCGGGCGTTTGGTATGATAGCGTGCGCAATTCTTAGATTTGAGCCATGTTTAGGCCTTTGGAAACGACGAGGACACCCGCAACGTTTGCTGTAATGAATTCTTCCATCTATACAACTGCGAGAGCACCAGCACACAACCAACCTCGGACAAAACTACTTTCCCCGCTTTATAAGGATCTCTCCCATTCTGACTTCATAGGTGAGTTTATCAATAAAATCGTAGGAAGCGAACGCAAGAAGATGAAAGCTACCTTTTGAGGAGAAATCTCGTAGTATCACACAGCCTGCCACGCGATTTCATATATTACCTTACGCGACCCAATACGCGAGACTTCCTCAAATGCTAATTATAAGGTTAAAACCTCTCACTTCCAATGCTCGTTATAACACTCGCCACATAAGGATCTAACACTTCGAAATAATGATAAAAGATATACAGGGGGGGGGGGGCAATAAAAAAAGACATTTTGTCTCCAGACTCAAATGGAATTTAATCACACTTTGCTCAGCTCAAAGCGTGTGCTCCAACTGGAATTGAAGAGCGCATTTCACTGCATAAGAAAATCTTCATAGTGGCCATCTACGTGGACGGCATCAGGAAATTTTGCCCCGGAAACATGGTGCTCTGATCGAGCTCAGTGGGGTTCTCGACTGATCGTGTACCGTTACGACGGGTTCCGAAGAGCGGGTTCCGAGGGGGTTTGCATAGTTAGAGCTAATGTCCCTAGGAAACTATCCCACGTTGAACCGATCCAAGAAATTATGTAAGAGCTTCAGGATGAAGCAGTTACTGTAGGCCTCCCTGAGCTCGACGACGGTGACAGATGACGTCATATTAAAGACGGTGAGGGTAGTGAGGGAGAGGGGGGCCTTGCGCGTGCTGTTTATAGAGGGACATTCAAGGAATGTTTTGCTGCCGCGCAACTCTCGTCAGGCTGACGCAACTCTCTGTCGAGTAAACAAGCGCGCTAAAAGTGCGAATGCGCGAACTGCTCTTTTGATGTCCCCCTGCCCCCACGCTCGTACGTCCCCAGCCTCTTCCCTTATATGGCTCCATTGGCGCTGCCGATCGTGGCGTTTTGGATCTGCCGCGCGGGGATCACAGTGAGCCACCTCTCGGTCGCCTTTTCCTTTGACTATTGGACGCAAGCCCAAAATTGTTGCTCCACAATAGCTCCACAGTGTTGTGGGTGTTCACCGCAGATCAGAGAGGCAGTGAGATGGCATACAGATCTATTTTCAGGTGCCTAACTTACAAGACATTCTCTGAGAAACTCACATAGAAGAACCAAAGGAAACTAACAAGGCCTCCAAGTGAAGCTGGCTTTTCAAGGGCTCATCCGATTCATGTCAACTTACAAAATGTCCCTCTGGAACGATCAGGATCGCTTCTGTTCCAAGTAAATTCTGCAACTCAATTTCTAGAAAAATTGTTGAAAATTGATGTGAGGTGGTGCTACAATTCACAATCTAACTCGCTCCTGTTAATCATCGACCTTTGAAATTATATCCAAGTGAACCTATAAATTTGAGACACCATTCTACAGGAAGAAAAAAACTTGGGAACCTGGTTCTCTTTTTTCAAACTCAAACTCATCTATAAAACTGAAGTGATTTGGCACTGCTGGCATGGAAATGAGAAGAAATCGTTCGTAGAGACTTTCAACGAAAATATGATATTAAATTTTATTATTTATTTTATTTATTTAAAGTCTTCACTTTTAGGACATACATATTCTAGACTGCTGGAAATGGAAACGTGGATAACCCCAAAAGGGGCAATCATGTTTCGGTTTCCGCTAGACGGGACCGCTCCCGGTAAAATAGGCTTCGCAATATTTTTGAAGAGGCAGGAGAACAGTTCGTTAGCTTTGATGGTAATCAGATGGAGGTTCCTTTCAGAGAGGAGCTAGCGGTCATAGGGACCATGAAACTCTCTCAACACAATGATTGATTCCATTTGGAGGCACCCTCTTCACCTAAGAGATCTACGGTTCATTGTGGAGGTAACCTCGAATTACCGTGTGTCAACTATGGTAACTGGCAGTTATGAAAACTAGCCACTTTTTCAGCAGGTCAGGGACACGCCTAAGAACAAAATCACTGAGGAAAACTACACAGCCATACTTCACTAACACAACTGCCCGGAGGACAACCTGAAGCCGTGCGGAGCGACATCTTCAAAAAATAAAAAAAACGGCATTCCCGTCATCGAAGACTCTCCAGTATCCTCTCAATGCTTATCGGAACTAGGTTAGGTGACGTCCGAATCTGTTAGGTGGAGATATTTGGCCGAATAACCATGAACTTAAATTCCGTCCTTTTAGCTCCGAAAAAGGCGAACTGCCGACACCCCCACCTCAATAAAGCTGTTATAATAAACTTTCCGAGAATTTAACAAAAGAGCATCTCGACCATAATTAACATGCTGAGGCTCATCGAGAGTCGAACATGGCGACTACTTATTGGGAAATTTTGGTAAGTACGGATTTCCTTTCCCACAAAGAATTCAAATTTAGGTATCCTCACATCGTCCAGAACCTCATACCCTTGCTTATTGCCCCTTATTGGTCATCCTGATAAGATTTCAAGAAAAACCTGATCCAGAGAGGTCTATTCTTTAAAGTACAAGGGGGAGGTATTTCGATGCAAAGAACCATCACTCGGAAAATACCTCGCCGGCAGTTCATTTTTTGGCGAAAGGTTTAGGAGTACCTTCCTTGGCTTACTTTTTTACAGCAAGTCAAGCACTCGGCCCCTGCTGTTTTGGCCGCAGTTCGCCTTGCGAATGTTTCACAAGAATGCTGGGTTGTGAACAAAACTTTCGCCCCAGGCGGGACTAGAACCCGCACCTCTCGCTTTCCGGGCAAGTGCGCTACCAGTTACGCTACCGGGGCACCATTTCATCCCAACTCAGCTTCTTCAATAAATGATAAAGATATACAGGGGGGGGGCAATAAAAAAAGACATTTTGTCTCCAGACTCAAATGGATTTAATCACACTTTGCTCAGCTCAAAGCGTGTGCTCCCAACTTAGAATTGAAGAGCGCATTTCATTTCATAAGAAAATCTTCATAGTGGCCATCTACGTGGACGGCATCAGAAAAGTTTGCCCCGGAAACATGGTGCTCTGGTCGAGCTCAAGTGGGGTTCTCGACTGATCGTGTACCGTTACGACGGGTTCCGAAGAGCGGGTTCCGAGGGGGTTTGCATGGTTAGAGCTAATGTCCCTAGGAAGTTATCGTTGCACCGATCCCAGAACGTGAGAGCTTCAGGATTAAGCAGTTACTGTAGGCCTCCCTGAGCTCGACGACGGTACAGATGACGTC